TAGATAAAAGCGACGACGGCGATAAGCTACGTATCGGTGTCTACGAAGTAGTGCTTAATATAGATAGTAGATCGGAGTACGAGGAGTTATATAACTACTCGAGTCTAGAGGAGTTATACGATTAGATAGGCTTAGGTAATCGTTATAGCCCTAGCGATCCTTCCTATATAGATAGGAACTATCCTTAGATAGACTTCGTAGCTAAGATAGATTAGATTCGAAAGGAGATATACTAGGAGGTGTATAGTAGAATTACTACGATTAAGGTATAGATTAAAGATAGTACTAGAGAGGACCTAAGCTAAGGGGATAATTACTAGGATAATAGCGGGTAGTATAATTGTTATTCCCTAAAAGTGTTTACTTTCTTTCTATCCTACCTTTACTTTTTATTATCGCCTACTACTCTACTCTCTTTTAATAGGTGTAGTTTAACGACTAGGCCTAGGAAAATATACTCTATAACCGTTAGATGACATTAATTAAGAATTCTATGTTAGTACTATTACTAATAACACTTAATCTCGTAGGACTAGTCCTATTAGGTAATAGTCGTTCGATAACTAATATCGAGAGATATTACGAATATAGAAGCGGATTCGCTACTACCGATAGGGCTAACATCGCTTAGTGCTTTTAACTTATACCTAACGATATCCTACTTCGATTGTCCTCTATCTAAAGACCGGCCTTATAGACGGAGAGCCTATATCATTATTAGCCGATAGAATTATAATATTTCTTATAAAAGACGGATCCCTTCTATATAACGTAGTAGCTACTAACGACCGTTAATTCCCCGAATAACTACCCCCTAAAAAACAAACCCGATTAGGGGTCTACTATTTAGATCTAGCTATAAGCTAGGTAAATGAATATATAGAATAAAAGATGATTAAGAGCTAATATCGGTAAATCTAGGCCTACCGGAATATACTCCTTATCTTCTTTATCTACGTTATTATCGTTACCGCCGTGAATATAGACCCTCTCTAAACGTAAGGCGAGATGTAGTAGATTATCGCTAGCTATATATCTACGGTAGCTACTAATCTTATATACTACCGACTTACTAGGGTTGTCGAACGAGTCTATATTCGGGACGTCTATAATATCGATATTAGCCTCTAATTATATTTCATTCCGAATGTCTAATTACCTTAATCGTAGCTAGATTCGAATAGTAGACCTCTAATCGAGGTTGCTTTTTAGAGGTAGTTGTTTAGGAAATCGGTAGTTATTAGTAGCTACTAAGCTACGTAGGTAGGATCTGTCTTTTAGTAAGAGATATCCTATACCTCCGCTTATTAATAATATAGTTATAGTTTAGGGATCATCCGGTACTTTTTTACTATCGACGGTAATGTAGTACCTTTAAGCGTATCGTACTAGATAGACGGAACTATACTATAGGAGAGTTTATTAGTAGATAATAGTATAGGAACATCTACGGTATAATATATCCCCTAGGCTTTTAAACTTAACGCTCTCGTATAAGAAATTATATTGCTAATCGGTATATTAAAGATAGCTACTATATACTAGAGCGTACCGTACTACGACCGATAGCCTAGTATCTATCTAGTATATCTGTCTAGCTATCCAGGCATTTAGACCTAGCCTTTAAGGTTATAACACTAGCCGGTATATAGACTAATTATCGATAATCATTATAGTAGTAATATCGAACTGTTAAGTCTACTTCTCTAATACAAATCGATAAATTAGTAGAATAATAGTCGGCGTAAGCAAGTATAGAGTTATACCCTACTAGTATATACTTTACTATCCTCTACCCTACTATAATCTTCCTAGGTAGGAACTTATATCTATTAGCTACTACCGAATATTCCTTTAGTTAACTATAATACGATTTTAGTTAGAGGAATAACCTAGCTAACATCTACTTAGCTTTGCTAATTAATAGGGATATATCTAAATCAATCGATACTAATAATACTATCTATAAATGATCTATTTTAGTAATACCTACCCTACTACGTATATAATTTCTATTACCTCGATCGGAAGATTTAATAATAATAGGGTTTAATATCTACCTACGATCTTACCTATTAACTCCTATATAAAAAGGGAATGTAACTTCCGTAGAAGGGTAAGATGAAAATAAAGTAGGTAGTATTAGTCGAGTTTTAGAGATACCTTATTACTAATACTTTTTAATACCTATAGGACTATACTCTTAAGTATTACACTCGAGTATACTCCGACTTATATTAACATCGCCGCCCTACTCTATCTAAGTCTTAATTGTAGCTATACTACTATATACCTCCTAGTAAGTCTCCTTATAAGTCTAATCTAGCTTAGCCTACTCGACTACTTACGGATAACTCCCCTACCCGTAGCCCTTACCGTCTATCGAGTTATATAGACTAGCTAGCGAGTAACACTTCCTCGCCTCCTAGAACTATAGATCGCCGCGCTTATTTACCTAGGCCTCGTAGATAAGGATAACTAGCTTCTCCTTACCGGAATAGTCGTCTTTATCGATACGGAAAATTACATCGTTAATAAACGCCGTATAGGGCTTCCGCTTACTACTATCGTCGTTATAGCTACCTATACGCTTATATCTAACAATACGTAGGGCTCGGCTAGTATCGTACTAATCGGTTCCGCCGTATCTAAACCCGTTCGCACTATTAATTACCTCCTATAGGTTATCGCTCGGCTTAAAGAAGTCTACTACCGCTATAGCTAGAATTATCGATATTAGCGATAAAGATCGTATTTTTCTCGCCTCTATAAAGCTTAATTACCTCGACTATAGCCGGATTCGAACTAGGGACCTCTAATCGAGGTTGCTTTTTTAGAGGTAGTTATTTAGGAAATCGGTAGTTATTAGTAGCTACTAAGCTACGTAGAAGGGATCTATCTTTAGTAAGAGATACATAGTTATCTCTCCTACCGTTAATATACCCTTAATGTCCGGATAGGCCGGTTAATATATAGGTATACTTAAGAAGTAGAACTAGTGATAGGACCTAGCTATAGGCTTATAGAGGCCTATTAGCCGTAGATAAAAGCGACGACGGCGATAAGCTACGTATCGGTGTCTACGAAGTAGTGCTTAATATAGATAGTAGATCGGAG